ATGCTCAACTGACTGAGCCACCCAGGTACCCAAAGATTGTTATTTTAAAACTTTTAAAATTTCTGGTGGAAAGTAATTCTCCAGAAGCATGGTGCCAACTTACTTCCCCACCAATAGAGTGGTATATCTTCACAAATAGTATTACAATTGAAAAAATAATAATAAAACACTGGCTAATGGATAAAATTTGCGTCTCATTTTAAATGTGTTATCTTCAGGGTACCTGGGTGGCTTAGTCGGTTAAGCATACAACTTCACCTCAGATCATGTCTCACAGCTCATGAGTTTGAGCCCCGCGTTGGGCTCTGTGCTGACAGCTCAGAGTCTAGAGCCTGCTTGGGATTCTGTGTTTCCCTCTCTCTCTGCCCCTCCCCTCCTCATGCTCTGTGTCTCTCTGTCTCTCAAAAATATACAAACATTAAAAAAATTATTAAATGTGATATCTTCAGTTGCTTCTGATGATTTTTAAATATCGTTTTACTGTCTGTGTACAGCAAATTGTTTTACTATTTGAGTGGTCAGCTTTTCCTCTTTGATTTGAAAGGGTATTTATAACCATGTATACTTATGAGGCAACACATTTTTCTATATATTTGCTTTAACTATGTTTATGACCATTTTTAGCATAGAAAGGTATTAATTTTACTTATTCTACCATAAAATGTACTATCAACATTTTATTTATAATTTTCTATTTTTACTTTTAGGCTTAAAAATTTCCTGTTAGAGGCAAAATAAATATTAACTTATATTTTATTTGGATTATTTAATGTTTTATTTTGTAACATTATCTAGTTAGTTCTCATAGAAGTTATCTGCTATAAGGGTATAGAGGAAGAGTTGTCAAAATAACAGAATGCATCAACACAAGTTAGTGAATATGAAAATCTATCAAGTCTCTTCTTTGTAATCTTATGTAATCTAACATATGTATCTGGACTTTTTATTCTACTTCCTTTTATTTGCATCCATTTAATAATACTATATTTTATTATAATTTATTTCAATATATTTCCTAAACATAAAATGCTCTTAGTACCATTTCTATTCAACATTTTGCTGGCTATGCTCTTCGACTTTAAAATGACTTGATCAGGGGCACCTGGGTGGCTTGGTTAGGTGTCCAACTTCGGCTCAGGTCATGTTCTCGTGGTTTGTGGTTCGAGCCCCACGTCAGGCTCTGTGCTGACAGCTCAGAGCCTGGAGCCTGCTTCAGATTGTGTCTCCCTCTCTCTGGCCCTCCCCCGCTCATGCTCTGTCTCACTCTCTCTCTCAAAAATAAATAAACATTAAAAAAATTTTAAATGACTTGATCAAGTTCCATTATGTTATCACATTTGAATTTTTTTGAAATTGCTTTATACTTTTCAAATGTAGTGTTTCTTTAGTATTAAGGGCTCACATTTTTGAGAACTCAAATAAGGATGTCATATCTCATTTACTTTGGTTTCTTAATGTATTTTCTATTAGATTTTCTAAATGGTATGTAAGAAATATGTGCACATACACATATAAGGCATTTTGACTTATGAGTTTAATAGAATTACCTCTTATGTTTCAACTTTAAGAATGGCATCGAAGGAGTGCCTGGGTGGCTGAGTCAGTTAAGCATCTGGCTCTTGGTTTCGGCTCAGGTCATGATCTCACAGTTGGTGAGATTAAGCTCTATGTTGGTCTCTGCACTAACAGCGTGGAGCCTGATGGAGATTCTCTCTCCACCTCTCTCTCTCTCTGCTCCTCCCCATCCTCTCTAAATAAGTAAACATTTTTTAAAAATGGTATTGAATATTGTTGTAAGGTATTTATATTTTGTTATGTTTGAAAATCATAATAGATATCGAAAAGATTTGAAGATAATGTAAATCCCTTAGGTAGGGAAAAATGGGAAGAAAAACTAAGTAACTTTAGCAAATTATAAATTGATTGTCAATATCTTTTCATCTAAGATCCCATGGGGTAAATTATATTATTAAATGTCTTTCTTTGACTAACCCTTTTATTCCCAGAGAAAATATCCCATTGTCATTTATTAGAAATTTACTAATATTGTATTGAATTTTTTAATTTAGAATTTTACAACTCTGGATGGAATAAATGGAACCCATATAAATTTTCATTTTTGTTCTATTTTTGTTATTCATTGCTATTAGAGAATATTTGGATCAGGAGGCTCTGACTATTCTCTCTTAAATCCTTCTGAACTAGTAGAAAAAATAGAGAGTCATATTGCTATAGGAACATAATACCAAACTGCTAGAGAATGTTCTTTTTTTCTCTCTCTATTTTTATTTATTTATTTTTTTCAACGTTTATTTATTTTTGGGACAGAGAGAGAGAGAGCACGAACAGGGAGGGGCAGAGAGAGAGGGAGACACAGAATCGGAAACAGGCTCCAGGCTCTGAGCCATCTGCCCAGAGCCTGATGCAGGGCTCGAACTCACGGACCGTGAGATCGTGACCTGGCTGAAGTCGGACACTTAACGGACTGCGCCACCCAGGCGCCCCATCTCTCTCTATTTTTAAAATAATTTTTATATTTCCATAAGTAATCTCTAAGACCAACACGGGGCTCATACTCATCACCCCAAGATCAAAAGTTGTGTGTTCTACTGACTGAGGCAGCCAAGTGCCTCCATTTTTTTTTTCCTCTTAAACTTCATTTGCTTCATAAACTAAACCAAACCATAAAGACTAGTTTGGTTTAGCAGACCACTGACAAAGAGAACTTCAGATTAATAGATGTCATATTTTAGAACTAGCAATCATATACTTTAAAAGTTACACCAAACTCTAAAAAGCATATTGATAGACATAGCTCCATGATGCCTCACTTTGTTCATCATAAAGCTTTCTTAGAGTGCTATTTTTCTCTCACCCACCTAGGAGCTGTGAGGGACCCCAGAGTTACAAGCTTTCTACCTTTAATACTTTCCTAGTATGGAAGTAGCATGTAGAGAGGAAGTAGTAATACTCAATGGTTTACTTTAGAAACATACAAATGAGTTCTCCCCTTATCAGTTACATGCTTATTCTATATTTTGGCAGTGTCATGGAGCTTGGAATGCAGTCAAGATTTTAGCATGGCAGGCCATTCTACTATGGCTTACCCTACCTTTTCTTTATATGAAGAGATTATTTCAGATGTGTAGTTATGTTTTTAAAGATCATTTTCAGCTACTGGATTGGTTTGGCCAATGGGGAGAACCTGCAAGTGACTAAAAGACAAGAGGAGAATGAAGCTGGGTATATATCTTCTAGTCTACTCCTGATTGGTTTGCATTGGATTGCCTATATTCTCTCCCAAAATGCCATAGCTTCTATGAACTGGTAGGTTTCCTCTTTTGGGTCTTAATGACTGCTCTTTCCTTTGTCCCTTCAGGACTCAAGGTAATGATGACATTCTGCTGTTACTAGTCCCTTCAGAATCCTACTATCTCTACCCATATCTTTGTAAATAATTTTTTTTTTTTTTTGTAAATTCTCCCAAGTACTCAACTGGAATGTGCTATCTATTCCCTGATATGACCCTGGTCAACACAGTGGATGAACATACTGGAAAATGCTGGCAAGTGCCTTGTAAATTATTGATTAACATGTCTAAAATATTTAGGAAGGCAAAGGAAACTAGAAGAAGAATAGGCAAATTGGAAAAGATCAAAATCACCAAAAAGTGTTTGAAGTTGGAATGAGGGAATGGGAAAAATGGAATGTGACAAAGTTTTGCTCATAAAGGCAAACTTAGGGTTTTATTTCCTGGAAATGCAGAATTTGTGTCCTGATTATTTTCGAGGGATAGCTATGGGACTAACTGTATGAGAGGAGAAGATGTAACTCTGCTGAATTTGTTAAGAACCTTATATGCGAGAAGTGATGTGTTGGGTATTACTGATGGTTCTTAACAGTTATACAACAAGCTATTGTCTTGTAAAAGCACATGGAAAATACTACATTTAAATTTGTAATTAAAATTTATGTTATTTTTAGGAACATATCACACTACACATACCAAATATAAGATTTGGTCTTTTGTATTATTGAGTTGCCAGCCACAAATTACACACCTAAACATTTTAAACACTGATATGTGATTCTTCTGAATCATACACACAAAATCTACAAATATACATATATAACACATGAAACCTATACATTTCTTATTGAGGGGAAATCAACTTCACTACCACAATTACACTTGAAATTCCACAAGATAGAACTTCTTTAAATAATGAAAAATACCTTCTCTTTCTGCTAAATATAATTATTGAAGGTTTTTTTTCTGCATGTTTCCCGATTTGACAGTAATTACAAGGGTAGAGGAGACTAATAATTTCTAAAATGCTTTAAAGTAAGAATAGCTATCTAAGAAAAGTGGCTTTTCATTAATTATTTCAAGACTGAATATAAATTTACACATGGGATACTATCTTGTGTCAATTTTTATATTTTTTTTTTGTTAAGTAAAGGTCATGAGTTTCATTTACATTCTGAGTTATACATAATGAAAGCATCACAGCTTTGCATTAAATAATGATAAACCACGCTATGTAGAATGGCAACACTCAATAAAGTTCCCTTGATTGCTTCATCTTCCCATTAAAAAAAAAATACCAGCACTGAAAAAAAAAATGTTAGAAAGTATATGTTATATTGTGTTCCACCTGACAAAGATTCTATTTCAAGAAATGAGAATAATAAAAGTTATTCCTAAAGTTTGAAAGATCTATTGTAATGAATTGAACTAGTTCAGTTTCTGATTGCTTGCCAGCAGTGTAGCTGTCTCCAACATACTCCTGTATTGATCTGGTAGCCTTTGTGGCAGTGCATAAAGAATAAACATCTGTGTCAGGTACAACAGCAAGGTGCCATCCCCATTGAACTTGCTGCTACCCTGATTACAAAGAGGCTGTTTAGAGCACCCGGTGACCACGACAGGCTCTTTCTTCACTATAGAAAAGAAACTCATTTCCAAAAGCTTACTGAACTGAAACTGAGAAACTCACCAGAAATCGTCAGCTGAAGAGGTGTTGGAATGAACTCCAGTGAAGACAAAGTAAGCGATCTAGTGATGGAAAGCCTCTGGCTTGCAGCAGAAGATTCCCAATCACGCACACTAGGCTGAAGTTCCCATTTGGGCCACTCTGAAGAAGTTGTAAGCTCTTCTTTTAAATCAGATGTTAAGGTCAGATAATCTGTATAATATGTCCAATCTGGCACAAGAACAGACAAGGGAAAACAGGTCTGTTTTGGATATGACTGAGTTCCTGAAACTGCATAAAATGCGATATTAGAGGTTACCTCTGAAAAGTCAGACACAGAGTCTATATAAGGTGGCAGGTTGTTTTTGAGGTCACCTGAATATATAGTTTTTGGATGATTTTGTAAATTTAATTCAAAATCTAGAGAACTGTCATGTGTGTGAAGTTTGAACTGATTATGAGATCCTTTACTCTCTCGCATACCCAATAAATTGTCTTGATTCAGTATCTCAGTGGAGCCCATGGTTATACCATGTTGTCCTATTGTCAATAGTTTTAAAATGTTCTCTGATACAGAAGGATCATCAGTAGTCAGTTTTGAAGTCAAATCAGAAATCATCAAGGCTGAAGAGACACTTTGTAAGGGACAGTGGATAAATAACTCTTAAATAAACATAAATTAACATCCAAATTACTTGATAGGGTAATGGATTCTTCCAAGGATGAGGATAAAATCCTTCTTTTTGTACTCTTTTTAGAAGGAAATAAAGATGACAGTTCTGTGAATGCCACTGATGGCGTTATTTCAGTAGCATAAGACAATGGATGCCCAGAAGTGATAGTCTGAATTCCCATTAGTGCATACCAGCTGGCTGATATAGCTGAGTTCATCCAGAACGTCTCATAAAAGTGGGACTGTTTTCTATGCAAAACTTGATCTGAGAATTCATGAGAGGATTTTATTTCAGTCATAGAACATGTTGCACATGTTTGGCTTAATTCACTTAAAGAATCAGCAGCCTGTGATTTGATGTTTGTGAGTCTCTGGTTGCTAGATGCTTCAGTAATAACCTGGTATTCACTGGGAATGGAGGCTTGTGTAGTGAATTGGTGCAGAGTTGATGAGTTTAAGATGGCTACCTGTTTAGATATAATTATCTTAGCAGGAGAAAGGGGAGACATTGAGGAGCTCAGCAATCTCTAGTACTCTCTTCTTGAAATTAGGGAAACAGCTGAAAATTCTTCAATATCCTCTTGAGCCCCCATAGAAACAACCGGAGGTACACTTGTAGAAGTGGTTGTGAGCAGGAATCCATGGGAGAGTAATGAGTGCCTCTTTAACTTAATATCAGCTCCTGGAATGCCAGTAATTACTGAACTCACTGTGGTAGTAGTTAAGGCAATAGTCTCATTGTTCACAAAAAATAAAGATTCTGTAGGAAAAATAAAATCTGACATGAAAGAAGAAATGATAAATGGGGTCCTGTCTTCCATACTGGGGGAAAAAGTATCCTGCTGTTTGGATATCCTGAAGTTTGGATAGGCATATGTGATACAGACGTTTTGCCCCAGACAATTTGTGCTGAGTCATGAACACCAAAATTCAGAAATTGAGAAGAGGAAACATCTGTGGAAGAAGGAAGACTGCGTTTTGCTGAAAGCTCTCTAGTGGAAATCAGTTCTTTGAGTAAATAGCTTTCAAAAGATATGCCAATGCTTAATGTTGCTAAAATAGTAGTTGGGAGAACATCATGCTTGATAATGTCTGTCTGTTTTGGACCTTCAAAGAGGAAAAAGAAACAAAAAGAGAATCAGAAAAGTGAATTAAAAATGAACAACTTTGGCCCTGGGCTGAGTCTTCTGCAAACTGCACTGCCTCCTCGTATCAATTATTTGCAGACAAATGGCTCTGTAGGTTATATTTCTAGTGGAAGTGTATGGGTAAGTTTAGTAACTTCACAAACTGGATAAATGCAAAGACTCCCATTATTCACACTCCATTTGAGGGTCAAAGTCAAACAAATTGTGCTATATAATCTTGAGAAAGAACAAAGCTGGAGGTATCTTGTGCCCTAATATCAAACTATACTACAGGGCTATTGTAATCAAAACAGCATGGTACTGGCATAAAACCAGTCATATAGATCAGTGGATTAGAGTAGAGAGCTCAGAAATAGGCCTACTCATATGTAGTCAATTAATCTCTGACAAAGGAGGCAAGAATATACAATAGGGAAAAGATAGTCTTTAAAATGAATAAATGGTGCTGGGAAAACTGGGCAGCTACATGAAAAAAATTAACTGGACTGCTACTTTACACCATATAATGGTGCAAAGATTTAAATATAAGACTGAAAACCATAACACTAGAAGAAAAAATAGGTAGTAGGCTCTTTGATATCAGTGTTAGCAATACTATTTGGGACCAGACTCCTTAGGCAAGGGCAACAAAAGTTAAAATAAACAAATGGGACTACATCAAACTTAAAAGCCTTTACACAACAAAGGAAACCATAAACAAAACAAAAAAAAAGCAACCTACTGAATGGGAGAAGATATGTGCAGATCACACATCTGATAAGGGGTTAACATCCAAAATATATAGAGAAATCCACAACTTAATATCAAGAGAACAAGTAATCTGATTTAAAAATGGGCAGGGACACCTGGGTGGCTCAGTCAGTTAACTTTTGGTTTTGGTTCAGGTCATGATCTCACTGTTTGTGAGTTCAAGCCCTGCATCAGGGAGCTTGGGATTGTCTCTCTCTCTTTCTCTGCAGCTCCCCTGATTGCTTGTTCTCTCTCTCTCTCAAAATAAATAAACTTAAAAAAAATGTGCAGAGGACTTAAATAGACATTTTTCTAAAGAAGACATACCGATGGCCAACTGGCACATGAAAAAATACTCAACATCATTAATCAACACAGAAATGCAAATCAAAACCACAATGAGATATCACCACAAGTATGTCAAATTGACTATTATCAAAAAAGGCAATAAGTGAGATCAGAGGAAGATGGCGGCGTAGGAGG